GCAACTAAAGAAGATTTGTTGTTTGTCATCACTAGCCACTACTGTTTCAGTGAACCCTTCTAGCTGATATTTTCACTTTCTTTTCTGAAATAAACAGCACTGGCTGTCTATCATTTATTATTCGCTTTAATTTCACTTGCTGTTTTGTGTACGGTGGTTCTGTCTTTCCAGCTCTAGGAAGGCAGAAATTATGTCTTACACAATCTCTTTCATGAGATTCACAAAAGCTTCGTTAATAGCTGAACTTATAAACCCGAACTTATAGCAATAGCATGTAATTTCCTTGATAACGTGCAGTTTTTGCATTGGTTGGTGCACCTGCCAAAAACAAAAAACAAAAAACAAAAAAACGGCTTCATGATTTTTTTTTTTTTCTTACAGACAGCTTAAGGTAGAATCACTACTTTAAAAAAAAAAAAATCTTTCCTGGTATCCCCATATTTCTTGGTTAGTTTTCTTTTTGAGATGATTTTCCAAGCAGAAATAAAATTAGAGTCACTCTAAGTTTTACTGCTTGCCAACAGAGATACAGGGAAGAGAATGAGGCTGCACTGTAATGGGGATGTTAGGGAGAGTGGTAAAGGTCTTCTAGGTCCATTTATCAGGATGACTTGCTCTCACTTTACATCTCAGCAAAATTACAAATTACTGCATGGTGTCACTGCAGTGTCATGATGTCACTGATGATGTCACACAGACACAACTGTCCAGGTTGATCCTAAATAGTGATGCTAAAAGGCTACTGTCATAGTTCCCAAGGTTGGATATTTATCAGACTCCCTAAATATATATATATATATATATTTTTTTTTTTAAAGATTCATAGGCGCTTTTCTCAGATATTCTGACCCAGGTGGCCTGGAGGAGGGCCTGGAAACATGACTTTCCAAAGAGTATTCTGGGTATGCCATTCATTCAATATTATAATAATAGTAATATTTGTTGCTACAAAAACTTAAGTGTAATAAATAAAAAAACAAATAACATGGTTTGCGTTCTTAGGTGTTATGAATTGTTTTAAGAGACATACACATTATTCTATTTAATTCCGATAACAATCCTATGAGGGAGGTATTATTTCTATTTTACAGATGAAGAAACTGAGGCAGAGAATTGTTAAGTGACTTGCCTAACTTCATACAACTAAAGAGTGGGGCTGGGATATGAACCCAGGAATCTGATTTCAAAGCCTGTATCCTTAACCACTATACTAGCCAATATTCAATAGTCAGCAACCATCCATCCAGCAACAGTTATTAAGTAAATACTTATAGAGAAACAAACATTAAAAGAATTAAGATCAATTCAGATATTGTAAGTGCTGCTATGAAAATAGGAAAAAGGTGACACTGTATATGTGGGAGAGTAATTTTAAAGACAGTGGTAAGGCAAAAATCTCTCTGAGGAAAAGACATTTGAGTGGAGACTTAAATGATGAGATGACAGGCGCCATGGACAGAGGAACAGCCAGTGCAAAACTCCTATGCAGGGAGCAAGCCTGATGTGCTTGAGGGAGAAAAAGGCCAGTGTGGCTTAAGAAAAGCAAAATGACAAGCTCGAATTGGATGGTATAGAGGGGCCAGACCCTATGCTTTGGAGTCAGACTCTGTGCTTTGAATTCCAGGTTGGCCACTTACTAGCTGTGTGATTTGGATAAGTTACTTAACCTTCCTATTACACTCTTGCTTTGTAAAATAAGGTTAATAATAGTTTCAACCTCACAGGACTGTTGTGAAGATTACATCAGTTAATATATGCAAAGCACCTAACAAAGTCTTTGGCATATAGCAAGTGCTCAATAAATGCTAGTATAGGCTACAATAAGGAGTTTGGACTTCCCTTTCCCTTTCCATTTTCTGTTCCCTTTCCCTAAGAGGCAAGATCTCACTGTGTTGTCCAGGTTGGAGGGCAGCGGCTATTCATGGGTGCGATCCCACTGCTGACCAGCATGAGAGTTTTCACATGCTTTGTTTCTGACCCGGGCTGGTTCACCCCTCCTTAGGGCAATCTGGTGGTCCTTCACTCCCGGAGGTCACCATACTGATGTTGAACTTAGCGTGGACACCAGATTGCATAGCGTACTATAGCCCAGAACTCCTGGACTCAAGTGATCCTCCTGCCTCAGCTTCCTGAGTACCTGGGACTACAGGCATGCACCACCACATCCAGCAGGAGTTTGGACTTTTAATTACAACAGGCAGTCATTGGGAGGTTGTGGGTCAGGAGAGACATGATACGAATTACCAAACAAACAAACAAAAAAACTGTCTGCTTATGGACAATAGACAAGAGACATCAGCAACAGGGGATATGCATTAGAAAGCTGATAAAAAATGGTTTGGCCAGGTGTGGTGGCTCACACCTGTAATCCCAGCACTTTGGGAGGCCGAGGTGGGTGGATCACCCGAGGTCAGGAGTTTGGGACCAGCCTGGGCAACATGGTGAAACCCTGTCTCTACTAAAAATACAAAATTAGCTGGGTGTGGTGGCGTGTGTCTGTAATCCCAGCTACTCGGGAGGCTGAGGCAGGTGAATTGCTTGAACCCCGAAAGTGGAGGCTGCAGTGAGCCGGGATCACGCCATTGCACTCCAGCCTGGGCGACAGAGCGAGACTCCATCTAAAAAAAAAAAGAAGAAAAAAAAGGTTTGATTTGCAACATACTCTGATGGAAGGGCAAAGAGGACTGCTAATGGTTTGGATGTTAGAGGTGAGAAGAGAAAAAAAGGAACCAAGGACCAAGGATAGGTCTTAGGTTTTGTGCCTGACTAGCTAGGCAGCTGGATGGCAATGCTATTCTCTAATATGGAGAAGGCTGGGAAGAAAATAGGCTGGGAGGGGAGAGTTGAGAGTTTGTTTTTCACGTTTTAAGTTTCATACAGCCTTAAAAATTTAGGTGGTGCTATCAGTGGCACTTGGGCATACTAGGGTGTATAGGGTGTGTAAGTCCGTTCTCACGCTGCTATGAAGAAATACCTGAGACTGAGTAATTTATAAAGGAAAGAGGTTTAATTGACCCACAGCTCAGCACGGTTGCGGAGGCCTCAGGAAACTTACAATTATGGTGGAAGGGGAAGCAAACACATCCTTCTTCACATGGCAGGAGGAAGGAGAAGTGTGGAGAGAAAGGGGGAAAACTTGTAAAACTATCAGATCTCATGAGAACTCACTCACTATCCCAAGAACAGCATGAGGGTAACCACCACCATGATTCAATTACCTCCCACCAGGTCCCTCCCACAACATGTAGGGATTATGGAAACTACAATTCAGGATGAGATTTGGGTGGGGACACAGCCAAACATTATCACAGTATAAAGCTCAGGGGAGAAACTAAGGCTAGTTTTGGAATCACCAGCCTATTAAAAAATTTTTTTTCCTATCTCTCTTGGTGCATTACTATAGAACAGGTACATAACATGCCTTAGAAAA